CATTGAAGGAGTTCGAGAATTCCCACGTTTCTCATGTAACACTTGCAGCATTTGAGATAAGCGTATTTCTTTCACGTTTCAACTATCCAACGGCATTCGCTCTATCCGCATGGGACTTTTACAACAAGATACCACACTTACGCTATTGCGAGAATGGCGGGTACGTTTCAGACTGTGAACGCCAGAATAACACCAGAGATTGTCGACTGAGATTGGAGTACGTACAATCTCGTAGGAGGAAGGCTGCCATTCTCTTGTACGCAAACGGTGATTGTGATTGCGAAGAATTCCCAACGACCTACGTTACACGCTCCGAATCGATTTTTCTCTAACAAACAAACAACGTACGACCTCTTCATTTAATCAGTTCTTTACTTTTCATGCATTTGTTTAACTTCACTCACCATAATACACGAAATGAATTGTATCTTGACCTCTGATGAAACATATGGAAGGAGTTAAATTGATTAAATTGGGATTATTACTTGTGAACACAGATTGTGTATATAGTTGCATAAGTTTGCCAAATTTGAGGTCATCAATAACCCTAACAACTTCACCATCATCATTACAAGGTTGTCAGTCATGTTCATGTTCCGCACCCGTACAACGCGCTTCAAACATATATCTTTAACAACCTTTTTCGAATTTCTAAATTAATCGTTCGCGAGTAAAGAAGTGACTTCTTTTTGTTAAAGGCGACTAGACCCTGCGCTATCCTCTGCTCTATATCCGTACTAGTCCTTCCGTCCTGACTTATCTGACTTCCTAGATAGCAAAAATCGGCCACTTCTTTTATTTTTTCGTCTCCTATCTTTACATTCGCCCTTTCCCTACTTTTTCTTTCTTTGCATATCAGTCTTTTCTGTTTTACTTTTATTTATTTTCATACAGTACTGTTTTGTCAGTACCGCTTCCATTTTATTTAAAGCTATCTGTAACTCCTTCTTGCTAGATGCTCCTTAATCTCTAGCTAATTCAAAATATATTATCCACGGTATGGACACTGTATCTGAGGAATGTTTGTTTTATCCGTGAGAAGCTCCTTTGATTGCTGAAATGCAAACTTGGAGAGCGCTGAGCGTGATATTATTGCTTCCCAGACTTCAATCCGACCGTCCACGTCCGTCCATTCGTTCGTTCGTTCGTTCGTAATAAATGCAGTAGGCCTGGATTAGAGAGACCAGAGACCTTCGCCGAGCAAATTGCTCGTGGGTGAGGAAAGCGTGAAGTGTCAGTTGAACAGTTAAAACTAACATAAATAAAGCGGTACGGACAACTCCGTGCATTAATTACACTTTTAAATAACTATGACGTTTTAGCATCTATTAAAGGTTACGCAGACAATGTACTTATATCTAAAGGCACACTAAAATATTTATGGATAGTGCCGTGTAATTTGCGTCCGTCACTCAAAAACTGCTGGATAGAGTTTGAAGATTTTTTTCAGTTTTATTCGTTGGGCGCTTATCTTTATCTCCAATAAACATTTCAACGATATTCCTATTTTAATAAGAAGTTGGTAAAGTTATCGTACACGTAGATACAATGGTGATACTAAGAGCTACGACTATGCTTCAAGACGGTCGTATGATGCGGTTAGGGAAGTCGTTTCTACTTCTACCTCATCGTAAAATAATTGACAGCCGCCTTATCATTAACGCGAGCGACTGCGACTTGATGCTGTACACTTCTATGGTGTTCTGAAGTGATCCAAAATGTTTAAAAACGAACGTTTCTGAAATAAAGACGAACCCATTCAAATTCAATAGCTAAATGTAGTTTCTAAATCTCATAAAACCTGACAAAATAATTTGAAAAGGAAACATTGTATTGTACGACACGAAAAATTGGTCTTATCTACAACCCACTTCCTTATTTGTTGCATGTTTTTCATAGCAAGTATGTGTCTTGGAGTTGTAATACTAGAACGGGGCAACAATGTGAAACGCCAACGTGAAAAGCCGTTACTTGCGATAGATTACCTTATAACCCGTTATTACGAGCAAATGTACACAATACGCGTAAAACAGAAAAACGGCGAGAAGCATTAGTTCGATTATGAAACTTAATTTATGTGCGAGGGATCGCGTTACATGCACAATATACAATAATGGTTGCAGACACCCAGGTCTAATAATAATGGCCTCTCGCCGAAGGCCTTTTGTTAACCTCAGGTAGGCATCTACATCCAATAGCAACGTGCACTACCTATACTTTATAACATCTACTACAATAGGTACTAGGTATAACAGGAGTACACGTAAACGAGGTTATGAACGCAAAAAGATGAACGAACCGTTTCACTTTCAACGTGAAATAAGTAATTGTACCCACGCAAAACGTAATTAAATTAGACATGCCAAGCAATAAGCAGGTGTGTAAACTTTATCAACCAATACCCATGATATACTGACGAGAACTAAAAGATCATCTACTCTTCCAGGATTGATTGAAATCATCATCATCATAAGGCCTTTAACCCTAAGATGCTTCTAAGTATCTTTTCATGCCTAAGAAGGTATCCTACCTCAACTTATCTTGCCTAGTTCTTATTGACTTCCACAACTGTACTCATTATACTCATTTTCTAATACCTCCTCATTTCTGACCTTCACATATCCAGTGTGTTTAGTCATTTTAGAGAATTCTGCGTTCGTAATTATCATTTAAATGGGCTCCACTTTTAATGAGTTTTTTCTTTTTTCATTTTCTTTAACAAAGCCTACTCATTTACGTCACATACTTAATCTCCTTTATAGCCACACTTTCGTTCCGAATTGAGTGTTCTTTCCTATTCTACTCGTTTATATGCGAAATAAACTCATCTGTCTTGCTAACAATGAATTGCCCACGCAAACTCGGATTGAGCCGCTATCTGAGGGAACATATATTTCAACAGGAACCTGATAGGACATGCTACATTCACTTGCGTGCACACATTATTACAATATACATATAGATGTGTAGAAAATATTGCAATGTGAACTTCCTGACGAATAGCAATTACGTAGGACAAACAATTTAAAATCATAGTTTCGAAGAATGGAAGCTAAAACAACAAAACCACGTTGTACATTTACGTTTCTTCTATTAGGTATTTAATGTTTTCATCTTCTAATTAAATTTTTGTTGAAATAAAAATCCGCTTTTGAACAACAGAGTTCAATACCGGAAGAGATAAGTTGTTTCTGAAAAGAGTTACGGTTAGAGTGCTCCCGTCCTTCCTTTAGGATCTTCAACATATATTAATATAGAATTGAATAGAAGACTTCGTATTTTGGTCTCATTTTGGATTCTTATTGTGTCAGGAATTAAACAAACTTTGCACAGTCTTCTCTTAGGTATCATATAGTCTTCTGTTCTTATTGTATGCAGGTATAAGAAAATTTGTTTTCATTGCAAAAAATAAACGATGAAGATGCTCAAGGAGGGAAATAATTGGTGACAATTTTGGCTCAAAATATTTATAGCGGTTTAACGCTTGGTCCAAAAAACAAATCTCTTTAGTCTTCCAAACATAATATTTACATCAAACAAGTTTGCACATAGATACATATATCTACGTATTGTGTTCCTTTGTCCTAGTCCAAAGTACACAAAAAGTGATCATCAATTCCCCCCCCCCCTTCTACAATTATTAGCGGCATTTTAGTTAAATTTTTTCGCCTATGGTGACCTCAACCTAAAATTTTACTCTCAAGGACATCTAAATTCTCTGAAAACGCTTGTTTCAGAGTCGTAAAAATTGTAACGCCCAATTTGTGAGGCGTTACAACAATACATAACTACAGTTGACAGTCGGACACTTCGTAACGTTTACCGTGGGATGTGCAGATACTTAAATAATAGTAGGTACTTAATTACACATGCTAACTTATGACTAAGTATTTACTTTAGCAAAGTTTAAAACACATGCATATTTGATAATACGTCATACGCTGAACGGACTAAATTATTGGTTATAAAATAGGATACAAGGTGGTTCGCAAAGACTGGGGCATAAGACAAGTAGGTACAGTAATAAAATATTAACGTTTAAAAATATATCAGAACGCCGCCATAGGCAGAATGCTGTTTAATAGCAGCAGGGAGATTGGTCTGGGTCCTATTCAAGCTGTCTACGACGAGCTGAAGAGAGGGGAAAATTAACCACCAAGAACATTTTTCTATTTGCTTGCGTCCTTTTTGCTACTATGGGTTTAGTTTGTCACAAGGACGTAACTACTGATGCACCCGAGTGGACCAAATCTGTGCATCCATATGCTGGTTCACCCTAAATCCTTAATGCTACACTATGCAAAAGTTTTATTTATTGATGCTTACTCTCTTCGACTATGTTCATCATCTTGTAGTACCTATCTCGGCTTTTTCTCTCCTTTTCATCATCTCCAAATACGATTCCTAATAAAGGAAACTGAAAAACTGGTGTTCCGCTGTATCCACTATCTTGTACCATATAGTTCATTGCAATACAGCTTTTTTTAACTATTTCTGCAATGCTCAAATAATATGTAGTAAAATTCTCCTTTTGCACGATACCTTCCTATCCGAATGTGAGTTACTACGAATGAAACACTTGAAGGGGGCAAGTATGTACGCACGTGTACACAAGATACAATAGAAAGATAATCACATTTAATTCGAGTTATAAAGCGAAACTTATTTGAGGTCTTGACTGAATGAGCATTAAGGGGTTCATTAGAAGGGAATGGCTATTTTCTTCTTCGATCCACAACGTAACGAGGTCTAATTTATCCATTTTTTATTGAATTACATATATATCTCTCAGTATTCATTCAAGTATCCATCTAGTTGAAGATAGCTTAATTTGGAAAGTCCATTTATCTTTGGATGTAGAATGATTGATTTAAAGTCCGATCCACAATTAAAGTTTTCTCGATTTCGATCTGTTTGTGTATAACATTGAGTGCGTAATGAACATGTTAGCTTTCTTTGTAATTAAGCAGTTGCTGAAAGTGTTTTCTTTTTTTTTTCAGAATCTCTGTTCTCGTCGGCAGGCTACACATTTGGAGCGCCAACGCCACCTCCTGGTTCGCCCTATTCGCCGGTCACTTCGAGCCAACTAGAACTTTTCGCCAAGGGCTACAATTCAAACATAATAATTCAACAGCCCTCCGATTTCACGCTCTCTCCCAAAAAAGGACAATTACCCGAAAAATCACGTCCCGAAGACAACTGTTTAAAAATCAAACCTGAAAAATCCGCCTGCGGCTGTCTTACTTCTCCTGGCAATAGAAAGTAAGTTATGTCATAAATTAAACATCTCTGTTTCATTATAGATTATACTAGGATGGGATGACACCTGATACTTAGGCTTTACACCAATTTATTATGTCAACTTGACAATTGTTTTGATCGTATGAGACCCTTTTTAATGAGACTACTTTGTCCATTCGTCCGTATCTTAAAATGCGATCCCGTGACATTATCATCATAAGGTTGTCACGAACCTCCACTTTTATCCTGAGTCAGTACACCAACCTCCTTTCTTTATCCTGAGTCAATCTTTGCATTTTTCAAAAACTAGAATATTCTACATGTAATATGATGTATAATCTAGGTATATCTCTGCCCCTCATCATTACTTCTATTTCTGCTCATAGTCTCAAACGAACCCTTATGGGTGGAAGGAATCTAAACATCCCGTTGTCTCCTTTTCCTTATTGACTTCCATTGCGTCCTCTGTTCTCCTGCTTTTTCCAATACCACCTCATTTCTAACCTATTCTATATCTACGATCTACGATATTTTCATAATTTGTCAATATATAATTACATCTCAAACGATTGTGGCTTTTTATTTTCCGTCGCTCCCAGAGTTCATATTTAGCACACTTACAGAATCGTGTTTCAAATATATACTACATATACTTGCGAGCACAGAAATGGTTTCTTAATTATTAAAAGCGATTGGACCGTGTGCCATTCCTAAAAATATGGTAGCTAAACAAATCTTATACGCATTAGTCGTAGTGTAGTATAATTTATAATTTAAACGCCTGTAGGTGTTGAGTGTTTCACTGATCATTGTTATTTCCTTCTTTTCTTGCGTTGTTGCAGGTATTCGGCTGATAACTCGTCAGGTTGTAGTCGGACAAATCCGATCGAGTGGAGTTGTCCGATTAACGTAAAGAAAGAACCAGGTTCGACTCCGTGCCAGGTGGCAGAAGTCACGACCAGCGCTTCGCCCATCGTCAAGGTTGAAATCACTTCTCCTACCCAAAAGTGCCCCGATGTGCATGGGGTGGCGCTGCCATCTGGGGTGGTCACGTCAAATGGTAAGTTCGGTACAATACCGTTCTCACCCCCCATTCCCTTCCAGTAGTTTATCCGCGGTAAAAGATCTTACTTTTTCTTTACCATTGCGCTTGTCGATTTTAGTTAGAGATCTATATCCCTCTTCCATTATATAAGATGTTTGCCAAAAACCGAAAAGTAATTGTACCTACAGAATGCGAATGTTTTCTTTGACAGGCAACATACCCGTTGGTATTGCCGTGGCCAGACAAAGAATACATCATCATCAGGAATCCGTCTCGTCGCCGTCTCTACCCCCTGCAGGGTTGCTTACCACTGTTAACACTACTACACAATTTAAAGAAGTTTCCAGAGTCCACCAAGAAGTCGGTAAGGAAACTTTCACTCTAATTATCCTTGTTGATTGCCTCTAAAAGAGAGTGTCAGTATGTTATGTAGATAATCTAGAAATTATTATTGAAAGATTGTATCTGGGATGCGTCTACACACTAGATATTTATTAAGGATTTATAGTTATTGAGATTTTTTGTTAGGAAGTTTGTTAAATTCTCAAAGTCAACGTAGGCTCCAATCTGTCCATCATTTTCAAGTGCCATCTCCAAGTCGAATATTGGCAATCATCATCGTTATCTACTTTAGACGCGATTGCTTTAAAAAATTGGTTAGAAGTGCATTTGAACCACTTTCTCAGGTTTCGAAACCATGAGATCTATCCATTAGTGATCCTCCTCCTTATGATTCTTTACCTTTTGTTATAAATCTATTTCTAAAAATGGCTTATTTTACTCGAGAGATCTTTAGTACTTAGTTTAACTTCATTCAAAATCATTTATAGTTTGTGTTTCAATCATAATGCACTTATTTCAGACCGATAATTCACCATTTTGGGGTTTTATATAACTTGCAAATTTGATCTCCCTTAAATCCATGAATGCTCCACAATATGCATTGATTTCTGTGTATTCTTTTAACAACAAACAGTTCATCACAGACTGGACCAGTAGAAAGTAATACCCTAGGGGGTACCTTTATGCAACTTTGTTGATTTCAAAACTCGGATAATTATAAATAATACTGACCAAAGGAGAATGAATGTACATATAGCATATATCGTTATCTACAGTTTCATTTAGGTACTTAAATCATAATGATCTTCTCATTTCACTTCATCTCTCACATTTATAAGTCTTATAAATCCAGTAGAAGATACTAACAGGTATGCAGGGATAAGAATTAATTAGTCCTAGTACTTAAGAAGGAATGTAAGTGTTTCATGTTTAAATTGAGGGGTTTAGTGATATGCTGTATGTTGAAATTCTTTGTTAAGGGTATGTCATTCACTGAAAGGATTATTGTTCGAGCTAAAAGATTATAATGAACTCAGGAATTTGCTTTGGTGTTGGGATTCAACTGTTATGGGCGCTCCACAATAATTTTGTTTTGCCATCTGCATGATTCTGACCTTGGTGCAGCTGTGCCAAGTTTCATTTTTGCTCCGTCACTAATCTTAACCAAAACATGAGAAATGCCCAAATGTTGATGTCAAGTTTTGTGTCAGATTCAACGGCAGGCATGGCCGCGTCCACGACAGGAGGCGTATCAGCGGGTGGCACACTGCTGCAGTGCACAGACGAACGTGCTACTGGATTGGCTGGATGGTCGATGGGCGGCACACCCAACTCCACCCTGGCAACGCCCACGCTTTGGCAATACCCCGGTAAGCACACTTGACCGTTCAGCTCTTTTTTTTTGTTCCACTACGTTCCATTTTTAAACCGGTTCTTCTTTATTATGTGGCATGTAAACGCTTTTTTGCACTCTACAACCTGTTGCTATCTATTATTATGTTGGGACGGGATGTGCAAGTGTTTTAAGACATTTTTTAAGTTTCATTAATAGCCACCTTTTTATACATGATCGGCAACAAAATCAGCTTAATCCATTAAGCTCTTGAAGAATAAACGGTTAGTCGTTAAAAACGTTGAAGCGGAACCTATTTTGACCTTCTGTCGCTGTTAATTTTGGCTTACTTCATTCACTATTTATTGTTTCTTGCTTGGATTCTTTATGCCTTGATATTACTTATTACCCTGTAAGCAAACAAATATACCTATTAGGTAAATGATTAATACCATTCAGTAGCGTCATCGCCTTAGATGGAGACAATCGCAATACACCTCGAAAAGCTAAACGTGCACTAGAGCCCATGAGCTCATTACTACCTTTGTTCTTATTCATCCACTTTTGGAGGTGGAGCACAAACAGGGGTTAGTAGTGAGAACCTTCCAGTGAGAAGTGGTGGCAGAAGCGGTAATAATTTAAAAGGGAAGCACATGAACCTATCAATTAATTTAACTTTCTCCTATGAGTATTACCGCCTATCTTAATCCACACCTTTTTTCATTTTCTGGCCATCACCACTAAGCAGGTACAGTGGAAGACGGTTGAAAAGAGTTATCGACACAGGTGGGGACGTAGTGTATCACATGCACTTATCAATAGTAGGTATGGCTGTAAGTCTATAGATATCATTTACCCTTTAACTTACAACCAATGAACCCTCAACATGAATCCCTGCATGAGGAAGTGCTTTGAGTTCTTACAGTTTGGACCTTATTTGATGATGTTATGCTAATCGGTAGGTACCTCTACAGTGCCTAAATACTTCAGAGAACATTGATGCCTGTATTGTCCATCTGTCCTAGGCTATACGTATTATGACTGCTTATCCCATAGTATGGGCTCATACAATACGAATGTAATTGCCTTCATATGACGTTTTCCTCATGCATTTTTCGTGTATTTTTTCTCAGAGTGATTGTCATTTTCAAGACATTCGTTATGTTGTACTCATATGTAATGTCATAATCTGTGGTTTTCCTCATGGGATTCGCTTTTCTTTTTTACGAATAACGATTGCCTCCCATGTCATTTTCTCTACGAGTTATTATGAGAATGAATCTTTTGCTTATTTCTGTTGTCAAAAGATATAATACCTGGTTAATTTGTCCATAAAATTCCGAGTAGGTATAGGCACTTGGAATTCCATCATGTGAATAAGGCCCTACTACTTATTCTTCAGTTAGCTATGGCTGTTATTTCTTTAATTTCAAGTCAAGGAGAGGATGTCCAGAAATTATTCTGTAGATTTCAAACTGTGCTTTTTTTTGAGGAAAGTTTAGGAGGCGAGACAGGATCGTAACAATATTGGACGGTTTTTAGAACAATTCGAGGGTTATATATGATTAAACAAGTGTAGTCTACTTGTGTGGTCTTAATTCTTTTACTACGTGTACAGTCTATTTTTCTTGACTTCTATACGTATAATGTTATTAGCTTATTGTTTTGCTTATTTCGTCTCATTGTCCTGTTCTAAAATGTCTTATTCTTAGGAATTGTTTGATCATTTTTTATCAGTTCCTATTTCATTTTCAATTTCACTGTGAACTAATGCGTGGTCCCAGAAATAATTTCGTCTGCCTTCTATGACATTTGTTGATATTGAAGCCTGTATTTCTCTTTAGTTAAATTTCCAGTAATCCTTTTGTAAAGTTATTAGTTTAACTAGTTTCGAATATCATCTGACCAAATTATTTCTGCAATTTATTTCGTTTTTTTGTTTAAGAAAGTGTTTGCATGTAGTCGGAGGAAAATTAACTAACCACACTTACGTCACAGTAACCTCAACAGGTCTCCGCATTATTAGACGTTAACACTTGCTGAATTTTACGATTGAGTTGCGCGTTATTAGCAAAACAAATGACGGATAGTTCCAAGGTTAGTGACACCGCAACGAGCCGTCCAGTTCTATGCAATAACTCGTCATTTCACATTGCGTAATCCAATCGTATGCCAGGACCGTAATCGTATTTGGCAATTCAAAAATTTAACATTTATCACGGCATTTTGATCTACATATTTCAATTTTCAGTAAACTGAAAAGGGGGACTCAAATATGTGGGAAATATTCCTAATATTTCAATCTAAGATGAGCTAAATGTTCCTTAAATCTAAGTGGATAAACCAAGCCAAACTTACTACTCGTTTTAGTACCGGTAAATATTTCGTTTAAGATACACCCTAGAAAGTTTAAATAGTTCAGTATTAGTTGCAGAAGTTCTTAAATTCGGTCCTGTCAGGTTCTTGTAACTTACAAGCTATACATGTAATTTCGATGTTGTAGCTCTTGGCCGCGCAACACACTCATATTCGTCAACGAGAAGCATGACCGTCTAGAAGTCACGAATATGCCCGTAGTTGTATCGAAAAGTTTGGAAATGCTATGTATACCTAGTATTAACACGTGTTTGTTGTTTTCAAAAAATGTAAACAATCGACATTCAAGAAATGCAAACACGCAGAATTGTATTATGTTACTAATAATACATTCAGTTTTTTATTGTATGTTCTGAAAATTTACATGGAAACGAAGACCCGTAATTTAAGTAATGTTTTAGCCTAGTTCGAAACACGTGCTGCCCTGCAGTATTAGTTGTGATGTCATAAATATGGCAGCTTAGGTACAGCTTAAATTTAACGAATTGTTTATCATTCTCGGTGAACAGATATCAAAATGACCGTTAAATGATAAGTTTATGTTTATATTTAGGTAGGTACGTACCTATGTAGACGAATAAAATTGTGAAATTTCTAAAAATAAGGGCTAGTGTCATTGCAGTCGAATATTTTATGTTAAAGGTGTTGTCAAAAGNAAAATAAAAAAAAAATAAAATAAAAACAAATACAACCTTATACACAGCAAATAAAACAAAATGATTCAACTAAAGTTTTTCTAGCACTGAAATAGGTACCGTACACCGAATCCGAAATAGGTATACTCGTACTTGACTGATCTATTACCTACATACTTTGTATAAAATAGTAAACGTTACATTAGTTAATACTTTTTAACAATATTGTGATTATTTCTTAAAAAATAGCGGTTGCACGAACTTCAACCACCGACCATGAAATCTCGACTGACCCACGCACACGCCACGTATCACTATAGGTGTACTGGCCAACGCCCAACCCTTCCAGAATAGTTCATAGATATTTAGATAGCATAAGCAGTGTTGTCGGATTTATAGTAAAGTAAAAACTGTAGATTGCATTAATTGCCAACTCTATTTATTGAATGTTCACAAATTAACACTCTCGCCTCGTATTATTACGTTATTCCTTTCTTCTTCGATTTGCTGACCGTTGCTTTTTTGAAGTTCCAATCGTTTAAGGAAATGAGTCTGTAATACCTTCAGTTCAGAAATCACTAAAAACCGCAGATATACATTTGTATATATTACTTACCTTGCAAAATTGAAAATATTACTACCACGATTTGCGGTAGTCTTTGGCGATTACCTCCAAAATTACTTCCATTCTTCTTTTCTTTTTCTTTGCACATCAACCGTTGCCATTATGGCCTCACCAGAGATTTTATTACGATGATAAATGTGATAAACAGAATTGCAACATTGGAATCACATAGATACTTACCTATTGAGTATTACAATATTTCGTGTCTATGACTATGCAAATTTTATCTATGATTTTGTCTAAAATTACTTATATAAAATAAATGCCAAATTAAGCAGCTTTGTACTGATTTACAAAACATTTAAGGTCTCATATAGGCTGTATCAAAAGTATTTTTCTGTTGTGTATACCTCGGAAAAATCCAAACTTCAAACAGAGTCCACGTAATCAAAAGATACGGCTGTTTATGCCGTATATTTTGACACTAGAAAGGGAATTAAAACCTGTAGGGTACTTCCTGCTGATCTAAAAGCATGACATTTGGCCAGATCACAAATTATATAACAGCAGGTTTGGTTACAAACAACTACCAAAAATAGTTCAATGTAAAATAGTACCTTTGTAAATGTATGAAATGTAGGAATTATATACAATTCCTAGGAAATGTATAAAATATTAAGCATTAGTTTTATATATTTGCTAGTATAATATCGGAATTTCATACAATTCCTAGGAAATGTACCTATACGTTTTCCAGGATATGTGTATTAAAAAATCTTTGAAACAATATTTTATACATTTCCTAAATAGTCTCGGATTTGTATACATTTCCTAGGAATATTTTACATTAATTTAATTATACACCAAATAGCTATTTTTAGTAGAAAAACCCGCTTAGCCAGTTATAACAAAAGCATTCGTTTATTCCTAATTTCTTCTTAATTTTATCCATGATTCACGCCATACCTGAATCGATCAGTTCCATTTTATAATACCCATAACTTGAATCCGTTATTTATCTTCTGTAGTATAGTATGCGTAATGCAGTAGCTGCACTCTGGTTGCAAAGCTAATGGGTTAATAAATAGCAAAGTAAGATTAAGGTTAAAGAAGGTTCCCCTTAAGAATATTCAAGTCTTCCATTAAGTCATTAATGTTACTCTCAGATATGCAAACATTAAGTAACATTTTTGAGGTTGGAGAATAATTTGTATCTTCCACCTGAAAAAGCCACTGTGTGACGAAATAATTATGTAAATACTTATTGTGGATCATCATAATCATCATCATCATTATAAGATCGTCAGTCTTAAGACTGGTTGGACACGCACCTTCACTCCTTCCCATCCTGAGCCAATCTTCGCATTTTTCTAAAACTAGAACATTCTACATCCTTAACTATTTGCGAACAGTAGTCTCATCTAGGTCCACCTCTATTCCTCTTAACTCTTGTTTATACCT